TGCTTGATTTCCAAGACGTTAATTTCAGCCCAGAGGACCGCTGCAAAAACCCTTCTATCCGTCATTGTTATGGGGGTTATTCAACATGATTTTTGTAATGTTTGTCCCTAAACTCATCATGATGCTCGTTACTAATATTGTAGATTGTCTTGTATATATAGAAGAATGACCACTTACCACTTAGGTGTACAGTTACAACAGCAGCGCTTCTTGCGGTGCAACGGTTTCATCGCAGGGATTTCAGTATCTTGGATTTCCAATGTCAATTTCCTGCACGCATCCCTCAATGCTATCAGTTCAACGTCTTTCACGTCGTCGCGTTGTGCAGTCATTGTGTACCTAGTACAACAAATATTTAGTAAATCAAAGCAGTTGATATATCAAGGTGAAATATCAAACGAGAAATATTAGGTTGGCTAATAAGTAATTTCGTTCGCTGTTACACTTCCTAGAGACAAGATTTTGTTCAGTGTTCGGTATCTCTGGAAAGAGCACTCTAACGAAAATTGTAATATGTATTTTTTTTGAGTATGCGCGAAAACTGAGAAACCCCAATTTCCTTATTGCGCGCAAGAATGAGAAAACTGGGTTTTTTCGGTCAAAAAACTTTGAAATGGCAGATTACAACTTTCATTGTTGTTCTCTAAATACGGAAACTTTGTTTCTATCCAAATACCAGATTGCGGTTCTCTACATCTACTAAAGAACTACATGAGAACGACGCTCTGAGAGTTGCAGAATTGAGCTTTTGGGATTTTAGCCCTGTTGGGCCATGATGTCCCTACAGATGATGGAGAACCCTAGTAGCTGATATGTTATAGAAGAATCTTTAAGCTACTTCACTTCAAAGATCACGGGTAAAAAAAAACAACTAGAGCAGTTTTTACAAAAAAAATTTTTTTACGTCAGAACGAAATTACTTTCTAGCCAACCTAATATATTGGCTGAGACAAGAGGAAAGCCAGCATTAGGCCCTATGCGCAACAATCTTGCAAAACATTGTTAGCAGGGTAGCCTGATTGTAAATGGATTCCTGTAGTCAAACAATTTTTTATCGTTTGGTTGCAGGAATCCGTTTACACAATCGCGGTATATGGTGACTCTTCATCTTCCACTCTCTTTCTGGAACGACTCCACTAAAGTGCACTATATTCCGGTCAAATAAAACAACTTTCCTGATTGATTTTAATAATTCTAATTTTGTGAAGTGAGAAAATTCTTAGATCGTTTTATGCCAAAGCTATATACGATGACATGACACGCAGACTGAGCGCCGTTGCTTCCGGCCGAGATAGTTCGGCATGCAAGAGATAGCCGATGGTACGAGAAACGAAAGAGCGTTCGATCAGAGAGACGCTGATACGTCTGTCTTTGTGTGCTATGATTCGCATGTACATAAATATAGGTACAGTTCAAAATTTGCGGAAAACGCCAAATGACCGGAGTTTGCGACATTTGCGTTGCATCGCCATGCCCTAAGTCAGAGCGGACAGGTTCTTAATTACCCTAATTTTAGCAGTATAGAATGCGAGGGATTTTTTCCTAAAATCGAACAGCACAGACACTCCGAAGGACTTCGCGAACAAAGAACTAGATACAGTGCTGCACATTGCCTAAGACTATCGTACAGCATAAGCCTCGTTTTCCGAAATATAGCGAGGCGGCTGAGCGGCTCGCTTAAATAATCAAAGAAGGTGCGTCCGATACTCGTGAAATTTGGGTAAAGAGGATTTCAAATTTTGCTTAAGGTAGGTTATATCTAAACAGGTAGTTCTATGGTAAGATGCGCGGCATTGAAAATTGCCCCTAGACTTAATTCTCCACTGAGAACCGGGATATGGATGCGCCGCAAAGGTCGCGAGCTGCAGTGACAATTGCGCCTTTTTTCACAATATGGGTACAGTACGGAGCTGGTCATATAGGCAGTTTTCGACATCTAAGTGACATGGGTAGAAATCACACCAAAATCAGAAGTGCATAACTTCTATAGAATGCAGTCAGCAAACACACGGATAGTCAAAGATAGTAGACAAGACATAGTCTTTCGAAATCAAGAACCTTCATAATGGTTTACAGCTTACAGCTTGTTAGAGCTTATTTCTATCCATATTAGCCAGAACTAGAGAGTTAATACAGCAAAGCAGCAGTGGACCAGGATTGTCCAAAACAGACATTGGTGAGACTGTGAACGGAGAACTGAACTACAAGATGAGACGTTCGCGGGAACCATCTTATACGTAATCGGCACGCGCGCTGAACTTCATCCATATATAGAGTGCGAGCTTCGAGATTATAACGCTCGTATTCCCACGAAGTGCCATAAAATTGAGGCAGATCTAAATCAGTGCTATGCAGGAACATTATGTTTGTTCTCTCAAAGGCATGTAGCCAGAGAGCTTACGATAATCATGCCGTAAACTTCCCGACAAAAAGCTCTCAACTCTTCTTGTCCACTAAATGGCTCAGATTTTCCTCACTCGGGTGAGGGATATCAACAAATAGCTGGTCTACCAGGCTTTACCCGGATAAAAATATGGGCGACAAATCTTAGAGCACACATTGCGGATAGACAGGTGATAGCACGATTAGATAAGTAGCTTAGCGCCCACTGCTATTATGAGAATCATTTTTTGTGGTGCTCTGTCGCTAATCGGCTACTCCATTTCCACTTAATATACTTTGCTTGACACTATTTTTTGTGAAGCGCAATGCTTTGAACTTGCGCACACTTTTCTTCTCGCGCAGGCTCACCTACGGCGAAAGTAAGTGTGTTTTCGTTGTTTTTGCTATATGTTATGTATATAGCGCGAACATATATCTTTGAAACCTTTCTTACATCTTATTCATGACAAAAATATAGCTCCTCAATGAAGTGTCTGGTTGACTGACTATCAAACAACTTCAAAGCCTTCAGCCCTTGCAAACGCTCTTCCGGCAAAAAATAACATAATAGGATGAAATATGTTTGGCGCTCACCGGCATCATGATAGTTGTTCCAACTTGCGTCAACGTCATTCGCACCATAGAGTCAATGTATTTTGCAAAGTTAGACATTAAACGTAGGACCTACATTCGCAAACGCTTTTCACCTTGCTTTCCTGACAGAGGTTTACAATGGAACGTACTGCTCTTGCTATATGATTCGTGAAAATGGTTTGGCAGTGCTGATAAGCCTTCATTTCTCTACTTAGGTTGCAAATAATCAATAAATCAATGTAGGGGCTCGGTGAATCGTTACAAAAAGTAGCTTATCTTTTGCGCCGTACCTCATTTGTATGGGAGCAAATTTCAGCCTCATCGGTTCACAAACAAAAGAGTCTATAAGCCACATACTTACTAACTAATAAAATTCAGAATTGATTCGAATCGAAACTGCAAATAATAAAGTGTCCAAGATAAAATCTTCATTAGATAATGAAGATATGTAGAGTGTTATCTGGACGGAACATTTTTCGTTTTTTCATTTGACGGAACCCTATAGAAGCTCACAATCGCAGCAAGCATAACTTTCATCAGAGATTCTTAAGTGGACTAGAATGGCCCAAAAGCTCCGTCGCACCAATTACGCAAGATTATAACCTTTCAGATCAATGGATTCGTTCAGCACTGAGACGTCAAACAAAGAAAATCTCTGTCTACAGACATATAAGAGCACTCAACCCACTTTTGAAAGGAAGTGTCAGAGATAGACGACAATGAAGAAGATTCAGTCCATTCTTAGGGTTCATTAATCGCAAACACTACTATGAAATTCGGAACAGTAAGTAACAAGAGTTTGATAGCCTACTTTGCCTAACTGGGCAAATAGGTACAAAGTTCTCTTGAAGAGTTGTGTTCCTCGAGAGAAAAAAAAGAAAATTATCGATTTCGCCGTTTTCTGTTGTACAATCAAAAATCACAAGCTACGAGAGATGATCTTCAGCGATACCTTCAGCATTGACTTTGCCCAGTTAAGGTATAAATCTTATATTACTGTCCTATGATTTAGTCGCAACAGTAATCTGTTGCGACTAAATCATAGGACAAACCTATTGCGACTCAAAACGGTGATATTTCGCTTCTGTCTCTAACAGAATCTTCTGAAACTTCATTGATAAATTTGTTTGAACCATTGTTTCTTTGAAGAATTCAATCTTACATAAATGCCGCTGCAATTTTGGTAAAATTAGTATGGGTTTTTCTGTCATGCTGTTTCCGAAAACGTTAAAAGTTTCCCTTGGAACCTTTTAATTTTCTTCGTTATTTCTGAATTTTTTTTTCGAAAACTTCGCTGCAAATTTGATAAAACTGAAAAACAAACGGAAAAATCTGCCACGTCCAGTCAAATAAAATAAATCCGAATCCGACTAAAACTTTTTTCCAAGGATATTTCAGGATATTTTCCCCCAAATTTTTGAGTTCTTACCGTATTTGGAAAAACATGCAGATTTGGAAAAGAAACCAAATTTTTAAGAAAACCATTATAATCGGAAACGGCATGAGAGAATACCTCTGCAAATATTTTAATTGGATTAAATGCATACTGAACTAGATTTCGAACGTCGACAAACATGGTTTCAGAAGCTGTAGGATGATGGCGGGGTTTTCCTGTGCACGATCAGCTCATCTTCGGTGCAAATTGGGTTCTAGGGTTGTGCAGGGAGTTCATGGCCCCTCATGAATCCCACTTACTACGTGTCGGCAAGCCTTCCGGGGTATGTAAGGTCCCTCACCCATGAGAAGTTTGAAGCGAAAGCTTCTACCTTAATATATTCAGAATCATTGAACATGCCAGATAACGCAATAACCACTTTGAATTTTGCTCGAAATGTTTGACTTACAATCAAAAACGCAAAGAGCAAATCTCACATCCTATAAATTCCATAAAGCCAATGCAATCGACAGATAAAGCGATCGAAGTTTACGGCGAATTTCCGTGATTTTGTGCTAATAACATAGCACATAAAGACCAAAAACCTTGCATGGAAACGATCCTTTCGTATGTGAATGCACTCTGCATATCTCGCGCAAGAAATTTATTCAAATAGGATTACATCTGTAAATAAGAAGAAACAAAAGCTCACACAAAAAAACTTCAGTTACCGGTTTCTGCAAAAGTCCAGATGGGTTCAACCTGTTGACTATTGACAATATAGCATTGCTTATTCGATAATTACTACAAGAGCTGCCCTTAATTCATTCAGATTCGCGGCTTTTAAGATTCACACAGTCAGCCACGCATGGAAGTGCATATCATTGACTAACTTCGCCTCATTGCAGTAATGTAAATTGATGTAGGCCAAGTTCAGATCAAATCTTTGAATCTGCTTATATAGTAGTCGCAAAATTCCATCAAATTGCCTACCACTATTATAAAACTGATAAGTGGGCATTATTAGCATCTGTTGAAATATACATAAAAGAATGACGCGGATAAGTGCATCAAATGGTCTCCATGGGCACGTCTCCAGCCGCGAACGTCCGCATTGCATCACGCTGAACAATCTCAGTGAGTGCACGAAGTTCGGCCGAAGATCTCATCATAGCAGCCACATCTGCTACTTGTTGGTGTCGCTCAGCATCAGGAATTTTCTGAAAAACAAATCTCAGTTCTTCACACTACAAACACAAAATCTGCAGAAAGACCCAAAAGGGGCAATTTTGCAAGTTCAAGCGTATTTTGCATCTATTTGGCAAACAGCGATTTCAAGCCGGAGTAAGAGCGCAAGAAGTGTATGGGGAATCAATAAGACGCGAGGGATAGCGCAATACTAATCAAATTAAATTTTAATTAGTCCTAAACAGATGAAATGTAAGAAGAAGCAAAATTTTAGTAGTCTAGGGAAGCCACTGGGAAAAATATTAGAAAATTCACAAGAGTTAGATATTTGCTATTTGATGCCCGCGCATAGTTAGGTTCGTGCCGTGCTAGCGTCGTGCCGGAACAGGTTGTCGAGGCCGATCAATCAATATGCAAGGGTTCTGTGATTCCACCACGGTGATAACATGACGCTGGATTGACAACGCACAAGGTCACCTCTAGACGCACCCTCATTCCCCTAGCTTGGGACAGTTGAAGACTCAATGTAGGAAAGCACTGAATTCATCTTTCGATTTCATATGCACAGCTATCTGACGGGAACACCCTGACTTAAGATGCGTTTATGAAGAGTTCTAGACGAACGACGCACTGCGATCGAGTGGCGACCGCAAAACAATGTCCAAAAACTCATGACTTGAATATTCACCTAGTCTTTCTTCAGCATTTCATTACTGGAAAAAATCTCTCCTCACCTGTAAAGCCAGAACGACTCGGATAACCGCCCGTTTGAGCTCATCTAGCTTGTCAACCTCTTGCTTTACAGCGTTTGGCTTCGGTTTGATTTGTAATTGTGTCTGAAAACGAACATTGCGATATTGCAAAACATAGTTGGATGACTACCTTAAGTGACTCGCAAATCTTATCTAAGCGTTGGACGAGTTGATTCGGGCAAAGCATTGCTAACTTCATGAGCATAAGATAACTGAGAAGGCGAATGTCATGATGCATGTCCTCAAAAAATCAATTAGAAACTTAGTAGTTCACATAAAGTTCTCAAAAAAAACTTACTCTCAATCCATTCTCCACATAATTTATAAACTCGAAAATTTCCAACTTTTCCAGGCAACTCTCAAGAAGAGTATACATGCTGCAAATCAAAACGTAGTCCTAAATATTAGCTTTGATAAAAATGCGATCACCATTCAAAAGCCGATTTTCGAAGGTCCAATCCATCATCAACTTGGTGCTTGAACGGTCCCATTTCGACTTCACGAATAAGTTCTTTTCTAACTTGTGTTTCAGCATAGACGGAAGGAAGAAGGACATCGAGAAGACCTCGGATCTAAAAGTGCATTTCAATGACCCCAGCAGTTTTTCAAAACCATTTTCCTCTAACTAACCAAAGATGGTTTGTTATGTGCAGCGGAGTTCAACACAACGAGAGCCACACGTCTCACATTAAGATCATCGTCAGTCATAGTTTGCAAAAATTCTCCTAAAATACATAAATCAATCAAATCACATCTACTTACGACTTAGGGAGATAGATTTACCTATGCACTGCTGCAGCACCGCATCTATTGGCCTCTTCTCATCAGATATCATAAATTTGACAGCCGTCACAGCCGCAGATCGCACACGAGCAGACGGTGATGTGACCAGGTTCTTGAAAAAAGGATTCCTGTTTCGTAATGTGAGCCCAGAAGAAAAGCGAACTAACCTTCAACTCGGGCAAGAGACCATGCGGATCTATTACGCAAAGTTTTCCAAGGCATTCTGCCACTACATTTCTGAATTTGGAAAAGTTGAACTTAAGACAGTCATTGGTTCTCCTATAGAAAATTCAGGAATCTATTAGGTTGTAACAAAATTAATGCAGGTTTTAAATTCCAACCGCAACAAGTCATACACTTGTCATTTCTAAGTAGGTTGCAAAACACCATTCGATAGAGCAAAGCAATCTCTACAAGGTGGCAATCTTGCTTTAGCAACAGCTTTGATCCACCTCGAGTTTCGAGCCAGAAACTAAAATGATTCAACTACCCGAAAAATCGAGAAAAATCATAACTCAATTCATAAGAGACCTAGAAAAATTCTGACTTGCTCACGTAAACACTATCCACATAAGACATCTATATACGCCTTTGCCGTATTTTTTTCTCTGTTAAAAATCAAGTAAACGGAAATTTTCGTGCATTTGCCAAAGTGTTGCTGTGCCGTTCCCACATAAGTAGTTGTATTCTACATATCTGTAGCAGTACAGACGTAAATTTTCAGCTCTCTACAAGCTTTAGTTCTCGAGTTATATCGAATACAGTTTTCTCTAGTGAAATGGTCCAAGCTAAAATTCAAATTTCTCGAGAACTAAAGCTTGTAGAGAGCTGAAAATTTGCGTTGGCACTTCTATAGGTCTGTAGTATACAACTACCTATGTGGAAAAGGCACAGCATCACTTTGGCAAACGCACGAAAATTTCCGTTTTCTTGATTTCTAACAGAGAAAAAAATATGGCAAAGGCGTATATAGATGTCTTATGTGAATAGTGTTTACGTGAGCAAGTTAGAATTTTTCTAGGTCTCTTATGAATTGAGTTATGATTTTTTTCGATTTTTCGGGTAGTTGAATCATTTTAGTTTTTGGCTCGAAACTCGAGGTGGATCAAAACTGTTGCTAAAGCAAGATTGCCACCATATAGAGATTGCTTTGCTCTATCGAATGGTTCTTTGCAACCTACTTAGAAATGACAAGTGTATGACTTATTGCGGTTGGAATTTAAAACCTGCATTAATTCTGTTACAACCTAATAATTATAAAAAAGTGTGACGGAATGTTTGGGTACTAGAGCTTAGTGGAAACTTGGGAGGAGATCCTAACTAATCCTTTACCCAAGCAGCAGCTCATCTATTTCATTTGTAGCGCAAAAAGTACTGGCGATCAGTATCGGACTCTTCTCAAAACCAATCATCGTCCTCGTAAACGTTACTGGGCGGGAGTTTAGAGTTGTCCCACGAATAAGACATTAGTTTCCCACTTAGGCGTGGTATGACTAAGGCTGCCAATGCATATGCATCAAAACTCCAAACGCCCAAGTACACCTGGTTTCTACTCGTAGATAATGAAAAGCATTTCTTCGGGTTGTTCATTAGCTATTTTTCAAAGCGGTTAGTAACAGTAGATGTTAAGTGGTTGATTTCGTGATTTTGTGCTTACCTGGGCCTATTCGCTACGCTGAATCCGAAAATCAACACTGGAGAGCGCGAAAACGGCGAAAAAGGCTCTAACGGACGAAGGGAATTGCAGGTGGGCAAGGCTGCTCACATAGTGGCGTCACTCTCCCAGCTTCAGGAGCGATCTTCTCGCTTCTGCTAATCACCCTAACATTACCACCAGCCAACTGCGAAACGCTTGACATAAAATCGGAACTGAGAAGATCGCTACTAAAGCCTGGGAGAGTGACGTCACGATGTGAACGACCTCGCCCACCTGCGATTTCCCTCCTGCGTTAGGCCTAAGGCATACCTCTCGCGATTTCGCGAAATCGCCACATCCTCGCGACTTGGCGATTTGCCAGATGCCTAGAGATTAAGCATGCGAGGCTCTCAGATGCATGGGTGCGTAGATTCCTTAAATTGTAACAAACAGCAAGTCTGGCCCAAGCGAAGTGCGTTTACGACCAGCTATGGAGAGTCGTTGCGTGCCAAATCGCGCGGCGACTAAAATCGCGTGAGGTATGCCTTAGGCCTTAAAGGCAGTGTCCGGGCAGAAACTCGATCTTGAGATTTTTTGCTTACCCGGGCCTATCCGCTACGCTGAATCCGAAAATGCACACTGGAGAGCGCGAAAACGGCGGAAAACGGCTCTAACACGGGAGGGAAATCAGCAGGTGGGCGGGGTTCTCCCCACTGTGAATTCACGTTCCCAGCTTCCAGAGCGATCTTTTCGGTTCCGACTTCAAGTCATGCATTTGCACCTGGCCGGTGGAGATCTCAGGACGCTAGAGGAATTGGGAAGATCGCTCCAGAAGCTGGGACTGCAAAATTCACAGTGGGGAGAACCCCGCCCACTTTCGATTTCCCACCTGCGTTAGAGCCCTTTTTTGCCATTTTTGCGCTTTCCAATGTGGATTTTCGGATTCAGCATAGTGAATAGGCCCTGGTAAGCACAAAATCTCAAAATCGACTTTTTGCCCGGACACTGCCTTTAATGCCCTTTTTCGCCGTTTTCGCGCTCTCCAGTGTTGATTTTCGGATTCAACATATCGAATAAGCCCAGGTAACCATAAAATCTCAAAATTGACTTCTTGCATGGGCACTGCCTATAAGCAGCAGATGGGAAGTATTAACAAGGATTTGCGATAAGGTACTGCTTTCCATAAATGTGATTGTATGTACGTTTAGAACATTCGCGTTCGCGGCTCACAAAGTAGATACTGTCTGCGGTGAAACTAGATGGCTCGAGTTGTAGTGGTCAGAATCTCAGAGAATTAGAAAATGTTAAAGTCTTTGCTCGAATTTGGCAGATGAACACATCTAGGCACTCAGATCTGCGATCGGCTATGTAAACTAGTACGTGTATGTAGAGCTTTCAGAATGCTTAACCATGTATCGAATGTACAGCGAAGGAACATACCGCGTTCCTTCTTCATTACCATCTGCATGTGCGACCAGTACTGGCCAAATTTCGCTGATTCGCGACCGGAACACTTCGATTGGCACAATATTGGTCGACTCGTGTCCAATAACCTACACAGCAAAAAAGCAGATTGCAAATGTGGACAGCAGTGCAACTTACTTCCTTCAACGCGTGCAACAGCAGATACTGCCTTTTTGGCTGCGTCTGAATCTCGTTAAGAATGAAAGGAAGGAAACGGGCGTGATTACCGACGGCAAGAGCACCAAGAGCTTGCGCAGCCGCAGCCTTCAGATCTTCTGAGTTGGAGTTGAATGCTGGTATAATCAGCTTCTCCGGCCTAGGAGCTTGAAGATGATGTTAGCATGTGTAGGACAACAAATACGTACTCAAGGTGGGAATTCTCGTAAACCCGTGGGCATCGTCGACCGAGCTCTCCTAGAGCATGCACACTGAACAAACGGATCGAGTCTGTAGACTTCTCATTCCTAAGTTGATCGGCCAATTTATCTGCCAAAGATCGAGCCTGTAACGATCGACACTTTTTGGATGGACACCTTGACTTGCTGAGAAATTTGATACGGTGACTGCGATAACTGAATAAGTTCGAATTTATTTTTACCTTCTCAATATCGCCGCTAGCAGCGGCAACGACTCCAGTGGCTGCGGATATAGACTGGAAAGCCTGTCGCGAGAGATTGGGCACATCATATACTGGAGCAGTCAGCTGATCCAGTAGTTCCTACAAAATCTTCACTGATGGAAATTGGATTATGATATGTAAACCTTGCACACCTCAAAGTTTGGTTTTCCAGGAATCGGCTTGGAAACAAGGGTTCGAATCATATCTAAACAAGCTTGCAGCGTAGCACCCTGCAAGAAGCTGTTATTGCGGAACTTCAAGGACGGAAGTTGCCTATTAGAAAAACCTCAATCCCTCCCCCCACCAAAAAACATTTGATTTTGTAGATGAAGCACATAAGCACGCCAACGGTTAGCACACAACTGGAATCTCGCTCTTTGTGGTACAACCGTACACAAATATAATACTAGAGGATAATTATTGTAGAAAGTCGCCAAGTAAAATTCAAATCAACATGTGAGACGATTGAAAAAAGCTAAAATTTTCTGGAATGTTAATTAGAAAAAAAACGATCAGTGTGAGTAAATTTCGTGCCAAGTTCCTAAACGATCGAGTAGTTTTGTTGAAGTTTCTGGAAATGTCTTCACAAGACCTGAGAGGGCAAAAAGAGAATTCAAAAATAAAGATCACTGAAAGATTGCGCGTGCGACGATTATGGCCATTTCTTGCCAGTGCTTTAACAAGATTTCAATGACAAAACAAATCACCGTAAAAGAAGAACCTTACCTGAAGTAAAGCAGATTGCGACAGGTGAATGACTGCAGATAATATTGAAGGCAAATGAGGTGCAACTCGAGCAGGATGAGCTTCCAAACCAACTAAACAACAAGTGAACATTGAACTTGGACTGTTCATCGGATGGCAGACTGCGACCATTTGATTTGGCATTGAAAAACCCATGTGAGCTAGCACTACTGTCAACGTTGAAACAAGCCAACAGAATATAGGATCACTACTTTAACAAAGAAATGCCCACAGGATCAGAGCGTTAACTAGTTGAGATTTTCTAGGCGAGGAAGAGATCTATCCTTAATATGCTGCACTACTCCGTCCTACATGTTGTTAGCGAACGAAAGGGATTGCTTTAATAGACGATGCTACTCCATACTAGTACTACACTTGTGTAAGGTCTTCAGCTATATTTCGCCTTCGACTGTTACATTCGGAGAAGGAGATTACTAGTGTAGCACGATAATCTCGAATCCTCCAGACTGGCGAGGACCTAGCCTCAAAGAAATGAAAAAAACTTGCCTGTTATACATTTCAACGAGAGTTGTGCGATTTGCAAATCGGATTCTTTGATCAAAGCAGGTAGCTCAGCTATGGCCTAGATTGTCATAATTCCTTCACAGTTTGCACAAGCACCCAAAACTACTGCAGGTACCTGTGACAGATCATCGGAGTCCAGTGAAGGTAGGTCATCCCTCGTCAGCAATGCCTCCAAAAGATGGAGCGTTCCGATCTGAAGCATGAGATTTACGTAGCAAATGAGATGATGTCCAAAACATCCCTTACCCTCAATGCACGGGAATTTTTCTTCAAAAAGTCTGTCATGATGGGAAGGAGCACAGGTGCTACCTCCGACAAGTCAACTTGCGTACTACGGCTTTCAACTATCATTATGAGAGCACGAACCGCATACAGGCGTGTCATCTCATTGCGGAGGCGCTCGACCATTAATTCCAAGGTAGTTGGCACCTAAAACAGAAACGATAAATATATGTAAAAACTCATACATACGCACCATCGACAACATATCACTGGCAAAATTGGCAACAAACAGACCGGCAGCATAGATAGCACGCTCCTTCACCTCCTAAAGTAAAACAAATCTCAATGCTAGAGAAAATGCAGACCATAGACTATGAGTTCCACTTTGTCAATGAGAACTGACCTGATCAATATCGTTGATTTTCAGTTTCTCAAAAATTGCTTTATATAGGGTTGGGACCAATTTACCACCGTTACAATCTCGAATTACGGGAACCAGCTGTGAAGCCACTCCCAGTCCTTCCGCCGATACCTAAAATTAGAGTGTCTAGCTGAAAACTACTGAAGTAACAGTGACACGGAATACCTTGTAGAAGCTGTCTTGTATTGCGCCTATGGTAAGCTGTACGATGCTTCGTAAATGTGGAGCAAACACCTTCAAGTACTCCATTCTATCTACTCAAAAAATATAAACTGGGCGTAAACTGACGCTATGATCGTGAGACTTCATTATCCGAGACAGTAATGAAAGAGCGTCAATCTTCATTGGAGCCCCACTCGACTTATCGAGAACGGCATTTGCCAAACCGGGAAGTAAACTAGGGAGGAATGATGCCAGCGAGCCCGGAAGAGTTCTGCAGCGAATAATTTCTCCGTGACACCTTAGCAAAAATACCTAAGGTTACCTCACAAAATTGGCCAACAACTCAAAAGAAAGACTTCGCGTTCTTGGAGACTTCAATCTTAACTGCTTCATAACCGCCTGGAGTAGATAGAGTTCATCAGTGATGATCAGAATTAAGCTATACCTTCAATAACGGATCTGACTGCGCTGCTACAGCCTCAAGCAACGACTGTTGTTCTGGTGATAGGGCCGATGGCGAGAACAGCGTGGATCCAATTGCGATTGGTTCCTCAGGGTCACCATCTTTCTACAATGCACAGGAGGCATGATGGTACAGTGCAATAGTTATATATGATGTAGTCAAAGGCACAGCTCGGACATATGCGTTTTAACTCATAAAATGTGTATCGATCGAAAGGTTTTCACTAGGCACCGTTCTCCGGTGGTTCAATGTTCATGGGTTCTAAAGATTTCAACTTTTAATCCATGCCAGTACACTGCTCAAACACTCCTATTAGAGCGTTCGAAAAGCATAAGGTACGGCACGAGTTCAAAGTTCATTTTGAGGTCGAAAATACAGTAAAATAATCATGAAATGCCGCAATTTCAAAGTTTTCCTTAGTATTTCTCAAACGGTTCAAGATAACGAGACTGAAAAATCATTGTTCTGATAGACTTACGTGCACTGCTGCCAAAGCATTAGGTACCACAAGTCGCGCTTGCGACAGTATTGCAATATAAGCATTGTAGATGTCTATCCGGACATTTTCCTCGCGCTCGCGAAGACGAGAGATGAGTAGAGGACCAAGTGTCTGCACCGACTCCTGCAGCTTATCACGACGAGAAACAATCTAGAAAACAGCCAATATAAAGTACATTATGGCACAGAAACTTGAATGGATACCATTGCTTCGATTGTTTTTGCTGATGCGCGCCTCACTTTCCAGCTCATGTCATCATCATCCGAGTAATCTTCTGCATCATCCTCGTCTGTGTCTCCGCCCTCTACAATACAACTTATTTATTTCAGCGAAAATCGGGCAAATTCGTATAAACAAAGCTGAATGTCTGTTTATCTGTGTGTGTGCCTGTACCTATCTTCGGAACAGAAAATGTTGATTTCTGAACGGCTCCGGACCAAACTTGGCACATACACTTCAGGGAGGGAGGTCGTAAGACTTTTCGTCAGCGATCGAAATCGATTTTAGTGATTTTTCGCAAAGCTCAAAGTACCATGCTAGGAGTTGGCACGGGAGGAAAATGAGCATCAGTGCCCCCCCCCCCTCCAAAAATGAATCGCGAAATTTTTGAAAGCTACTTACATGAGTTATAAAAACGTGCAAGTGACTTGTTTATAATTGTAAATAACTGATATTATTTTTCAAATTTGTAAATATCCATTTTAACTTTATAAAAAAGATTTTTGGGGGCGTATTGGCGCCATGCCCCTTTTCCTGGAATTTTGGGGTTATGGGCCCGCAAAAATTCTAGGAAGCACAACAAAAAATTTCCGGAATGGCTGACGCCACGCACCTTCGTCAAGAAAAAATTCTTGTCGCGCCCCTCCCACAAACGGAAGTTCTGGCTACTACAGCTGGAACCGAATATTCGTATTCGAATAATTTATTCGAGATATTCGACTATTCGAATATTCGAATAGTCGTATATTTGAGAAATTCCGTTTACTCGATTATTCGAATAGTCGAATAAATGGATAAGGTCTTCATTCGAATAATTCGGTCATTCGACGATTTAGAAAAAAAACTTATACGAATATTCGGTCACTCGAAAAATTTAAAAAGAAGTTATCCAAATATTCGAGTATTCGAGAACTTCTAAGAACCGTTGTTCAAATATTCGAATAATGCGTTGCGTTTTTGAATAGTGCGTTTGAATACTCGAATATTGCACGCGAATAATTGAAGATTGTACTCGAATATTCGATGATATCCAATTCGATTATTCGAATAGTCGAATTTGATCAGGTTCAGTTATTCGAATATTCGTTCAAACAAATTTAGGAATGTTCCCATATTCGAATATACGAATTCGAATAACATAAAAATCGGAAATCGAATAATATTCGTTCATTCGAAAATTTTTCGAAAATCAATTATTCGATATTCATTCGTTCGAAAAAATTTCAAAAGTCAATTATTCGATAATCGTTCATTCAATGAAAGTTTCCTTTCGTTACAAGTAAACTGGCTACGTCACTGGTGAGCATGGATTACGAAAACGGGAAGGACCGGAGCCGAGATTGCCAGCCAGTATTGAAATCACAGTTGCAGTTGGAGGAAAAAATTGCAAATTATTTCGCAATTGGAACCTATTGATTACTCAGATTTTTGAAAATGTTGCGGTTCGGTGAATATAGAAATGCACAGCAAATATACTTTGTAACACTTATTGACTGCTTGGAAGAATAAGGAAAATCTTGCCTCAAAATGCAGAGAATATTCGCTTCGATAGCAGTATTGTAAATGAGCATTTATGTAAGGACAAAAAAAAAGTTGGAATCCGATTAAAAACCAAGTGCAATTCTCCCCTTCACTGCACGCCAATCTCTTGAAATTAGCACGTTTATTCTGCTGCATGTGAAGAGGTATTAGAATGACGAGTTGCCGCATAGAAAAGAAGGTAATTTATTGCTCGTTTGTTGTTCGGCACCTAGGTCCCTTTTTGTAAACCGATGATAACTTTAGACAAATAGATGACGCCTTTTCTGCCAAAAAAGGTAACTGGTTTTTTGGCGCCTAAATGCTTGGCGATGGCTGTCCCTCTCACCGCATAAACGATTCAAGCTCTCTATGCTTTTTATAACTGGGCAGTCTCGTGTGCTACAGTGATGACCTTAGAGCTTCGGCTGGATACGATACAGCAGTCGTGAACTTGTCACAAAAACGAAATACAGAAATCAAGCGTGTTTGATGAATATAAACCAACCACATTCCATCGATGATTCGTCCTCATCGTCCGAATACGAATAGTTGGGATCGTAGGTCAGATCTTCAGTGACGATCTGAAAAAAAAATGGAAATTGAAAAAAAACAGCATAACAGAATAATGGGAACTGCATGAAGTCCACTGATACCGCAACACGGTGAACTTTCAGTATACACCTTTCAAAGGAAAGATATGAAGTGAACGTGGCTGTCTTCGTTACATGAACAGTAACACCACAAGCTAAGGTTTAATCTGTTCCAACTGGTCATAGAGCTGGGCATTACCCTAAAGCTTGCGCTACAAAATATGCAAGTTCTTTGACCTAGTGGCATTACGGTATCACCATCTAAGTGCTCACTTGCTAGGCAAAGTCTCCTGTTAGTGACAAAAGACTCAATCTGATATCAATTCAAAATCCAAGCCCCGTTTTTTAGGCAGATTACCATTTACAGGCAGCCTTCCCATGTCAAAGGCAACATCCAGGCAGATCTGCACCTATAAGATTTACGTGGGAGGTAATTTTGGGGTTCTAACTAAGGCACTGCCCAAGCGGCAGCGCAAGTGAATCACTTACGGCTGAGACATGCGCCTCCAAAGTGCACCCCAGGATCATGTTCTCATGGATTCATGGCAGTTTCGTGCGAGAACCCACTCTTTGCGCCATCAATCCATGCGAAAAACGACCCCCGCCCTCGGGGTCCAGTTTCGAGAGGAATATCTCAGCCGCTGGAGCACTACCTGAGCTGCCGGTTGGGCAGTGGCTTAGTTAGGGCCCCAAAATTACTGTCCGCGTGAGATCCCCATGTGTCCAGGCCTGCCTGGACGCTGCCTTTAAGTAGTATGTCAATTTCGCACGGAAAATCAATAACTTTCTTCAGAGTAATTTGCCGCAGCTAAGGACAGCATATTTGGAATCAGCGTTCAAAGCTGATTCCGAATATACGTGTCTCATCTTAAGACGCGAATATGAGTTACTGACTTCCCTTGTAAGCTTAAAAATTTTTTTGCAATCGTTATAATTACTTAAAAGTAAAAACAAGTCACTTGAGCAATTTAATAGCTCATGCAAGCAGCATTTGGAATTTCGCGAGCCATTTTCGGGAGAGTAGTGGGGAAGGGGTAAAGGCGCCCCTGGATGCGCCACCGCCTTAAAGAAAGTGACCGGGCAAGGTGGAGTCCTGGTTGCAGTGCTACGCGAAAGTGGGTCCTCTTAGACATGCCATCCGCACGTGCGAGGCCATAACGTTTGAGCAGCAAGAGATAGGGTAGAAATGCTGGAAAATTTACGCTGGGCGCGCCTCTCTATCTGTTTAATTTCCTGCTGCGACAGAGTACACAAGTCGCAACAGTTAAAGGTGCAAGGTCCGCACCGACTCCACATCTCAGCCTTGGCGGGAACTGTCCACATTTATGAAATAATGTTTTAGCCTTTTAGTTTTAGAATATTACAAGAAATGTCCACATTTAATTCTTTAAGGTTTTAGAAACTCATTTCTTGCCGTTTTCACGCTTTCTAACGTGGACATGTTCAGCGCTGCGGATAACTCCAGGTAAGTGATTTCGCTAGATCTTGCCCGCACTCTCCCTTTAAAATCAACAGGGCAACGTATACGTTAATTACAATAAACGTGCAGATCCGGATTTCCATTAGCGTCATCCTTTGCAGAATGGCGTAACCTATGCCGTAGGCCAGCATGCAAGACCTCCACGTTGCCTATGGGCAGGAGCAACTGCGACTTAGACATAGACTTAGATTCAAAAAGATTTCATTTTACCAAGTAGAAAGTTAGATGGGGCGCATAACCAACAAAACTTCAGAAGAAAGATCTAGCCAATTCAGACCGAAATGCGTTACCTTCAGGATGCGGTCCTGATATGCGGCCATTTCTTTCGGACAACGATATGTGAAAGTTTCCAATGCTTGCAAAAGCGCCTCTTTGAGTTCATCGTCGTCAGCAGATTCCACATGATCCAGTAGTGCGGGAAGTACCTAAATGTTCTTCTGACCTCGAGTTTGTTGGCGTATTTGCAAACGATGAAATCTTACTCTTGGAACGTAATCAGAAAATCGTGCTCCGCTAGATCTCGCAACGCAGGTTAACCCAACTACGTAAGTACGGATCGTGTTTGAACCCCTAGCGTCAGTCAGCCTGAAATTCCAAGGTCATGACCGAGTATGCACCAGAGCTTTCTCATCACACTACATTCTTGAGTAGAGTGTTTCAGAAAGATGCTCTACACCCCACAAACCTCTCCACAAAAACATCCATCGTATCTTTGAAAAGTTCATGTGAACAAACAGACATTAGAGATGCTAAAGCTATTGTGGCCTTCTTCTTGAGCGCAGGTCGTTCAAGTGACAGTTGATCAAGTAGCACTTTTTGTGTCTGCAAACATAGAAGTTTGTAAGGAAAATAACAGAAGATATCAAATCGAAACATTTCACCAACTTCCTTATGAACAGATGTGATTAAGGAGCCAAAACGGGTTAGCACGTCACCAATAATGTCCACAATTTCTAATCTGACTGAATCATTCGCTTTCGTCTGCTCTAGAAAAAAAAAGTTCATGCAAAAAACATTCGACAAAAACGCAAGCGAACCTAAAGCAGCATTTAGTTTCGGTACTAATCGTTTCATCAAATTCGTAACAAAGAGTGTGTTTGCTACTGGAAGATGGCCGACAACAGTTTTCAATGCTATTGAGCTGACCTAGAATCAAGTGCATAAGATGATCACCCTAAAAATAGTATACTCACATCTCGCAGCGAGTCTGAGCCTGCAACCATCATTGAACATAAAGCATCTACAAGAGTTTCTGCCTGAAGAGCAAGAATTAGGAAAGAAAACGTGATATGTGCCAAAAACATGAATGCCCTGTCAAATTTGAAAAAGATGCAAAGAAAAAACAAAAATCGGTTCTATCAATGTTATTTGAAGTGAACTGCCTAAACTTACTTGGGCTTCTTTTACGCGCTGTGTAACGGTGCCAAGACATTTTACAGCCAGATTTTGAACTTCACCATTACTGTCGTCCAGAAGACGTATCAACGAACGAACTACCTGCAATGCATCAAAGTTGCCTTTTATTCATTATACGAGATGAGATTTTAATCAGAAGCATGTACGTTCGTGCATGTGCAGCTGATTATGAGTAAGTTTAACACAACGTTCTAGCGTTGCTGATAATAACAGTGCGTAAACAACGACACTATGCGATCTATTTCATCATGCACAACTCGAAAGACTTTCCGCGCAGATGTTGTTGTCACCGCAGGGCACTACATTGTCCGTCGAATCTCATCAAGGTAATGATTTGAGCATTACTGCGACGCGGCGCAGAAAGAAATTCCAAACAGGAAGAAGCCACCCACAAATGAGGCACGATTCCAGCCTCTTCAAAGTTATTGTATTGCATATTGCATACTACATATTGCAAACAGTGAGATGAGCAAAAGCAGCAAAACCCTACAGAAGTACCTTTTTCTCTGAATCGTCGTCTAACCGCATGCTATTGGTTTGTAACTCTCTCATCAAATCATTCACAGCCATGAACCGATAATCCTAAAAAGATAGAATCTGACTTACTGTGTCAAAAAAAAAGAAGAAAAAACATTAAAACAAAGAAAAAACATACCTTATCTACCGACAACATCTTGTCGATCAGCTGCGCGACATGATAAGCTGATGTGGCTGTTGTCGCCATATTCGTGCTGTAAATTAGTAAGAATACCTGACAGATTTAGGGGACAAGACTAGAAAAAAAATATGGCAGAGTCAACAACTGAATGACAAAAAAGATAAGGAAGACTTTCTAGTTTATAGGATAACAACAGCAAATAACAGTGTCACTACAAGGAATCTCGCATCATGAGCTTTGTGGTAATATAGAAAACATGAGCAAAATTATTCGCAATAAAAATTAGAAGACAGCTAAGGTGGTCAGAACACAAAAGTGAACTCTCCGGTGTGCCAAGAAACAAAAGGAAAAGAAAGAAAAAAGTCCGAGAGTGAATGCAACACAGTATATGCAATAAAGTAGATTTCTACACTCTGAAACTCACCGAAGAGATTAACAAGTGAATAACGGAGGGAACAACGTAATCCTAACAAGTTCACCAAATGTGCCATGTAACTCCGGCTATACTACAGCGAAGTGAATAACCATGGCACAAATGCAAATGACAATCAAAACAATGAAAACGACGAAAACAGTAACAATTACGAGACAGTCTAACCATGAATTTCGATAGTCTGCCGATGAAATCTGTCCATGAGAGATGTCCATCAAATTCTAATCACAATCTAATAGTTGCCTCTCCATAACGACATGGACGGCTTCTCCAATAAAGAGGGGTGCTGCTTCTCCAATAACGACGGGAACTCCTTCTCCATCAAGGAAAGCATAGGTGTAGGTGTTTTTGTCCCACTTATATAAGCCTGAAAGATCCCAATATCCCCAAATATGCATTTTCTGGTTTAAAAAGTAAGGACAATTGTTCATAATGTGAGACAATCAACAATCTCCGCCATTCACCATGGATGTAAATTTTCGACATTTTCGTCCCTAACCATAGATTTACACCGCTTAAGTGGCTCTCATTTCATCATCATTCGGCAAACGGTCTACATAGCCTCACGCGGTGCAATCATACCTGCTACGCGCGGGCTGCCTCTTCGGCTATAAAATGCCTGCACAACAGTCGCAACTCTTATCTATCATTAAGAGAGTAAGAAAATGGACAGGTAAAGTAAGAATTCCAAATCAGCAACTCTGCGGCTAGAAGGTTAGCCCGTGCGTGCATCGGTTGCGGTTGCCCTGCCAGGGCTGTCGCCGTTACAGAGCATGTTAAAAACGATTGTACATAGAAGCAACCTTCAAGTGAAGCGAGTGAATGGCCCACCCCATTTGCAAGATTGTCGCTAGAAAAAAGTAAAATAACCGACTTCTAATTGCCCTGAGGCAGCCAACAGCAGTCCTAAGAATGGCGGACTAGGTTGAAGTGGATGCGACAAGTACTCAGGATGAAATTGCGTTCCAACGAAGTATGGATGATCTGTAAGTGCATCGAACATAAACATGTTGTAGAAACCACAGTGTACCTTTCATTTCACACATTTCCATTCTGAGAGCAGGACGAGTGACACCGTCACCACCACGGTGACATAAATCAGTTATCTTTGATATGAGATCCTCAAAGGGATGTTAAATGGCAATGATTATGCTTAGATATAAACAAACCTCATTTGGCGCATGATCTTCAGCCAACTTCATGAGAGCAGCGCTAGACTGAGTACGACATTGTTTGTGAAAAACTGTACAAGTGGTTTCGTCCACACCCATGCCTGAACATGACAGTTAAAGGCAGTGTTCCGGCAAATTTCCAATTCTCGACCTTTTTAGAGTCTTCTTGCCTGACGAACCCATATCTGGGCTTTACAGAGCATAGAAAAGGCGGAAACGAGCTTTTCTAGCTTTCCAGGTCCGCATTCAATGGAAAGTACGTGTAAGTGGGCGAAGCCCGAAAGAGAGGGGCGGGGCGCAAAGATCTCCGGCGTATTTTCCTAAGCGGACTTGGAAAGCTTCGAAAAAGACTCACTTGCGCCATTTTCATGCGCTGAAAAGCCCCGATATGGGCTTCATGGCGAGAAGGCTCCGAAAAGGTGAGAAAACGCTTCCTTCAGACTAAAAGAGGCATTGGGAGGAAACTGACCAACAAACAGAAGTCCTTTCTTGCTGAGATCCGGAACAACCCGTGGATTCACCTCATAGCGATGTCTATGACGTTCTTCTATTTCATCACGACCGTAAAGCTTTCCTTGAGAAAAAAAAAGTTTGGAGGATTTTCCTGAAGCAAACAACCACATCATCACTAACTCAGTGTGCAATTTTCGGTGAGGAAAACACTTGTACGCCGACCAAGCCTCATGGTTCCACCTAATCCACGGTGTTCAACATTATGCTCTGGCATGTCAATAATCACCTGCAAATATAGTATAAAATTAGAGATAGTAATCATAAGTGACCATTCCAACAATGAACACGCGTAATTTATCTTCTTCATATGCTCTTGAGATGTAATTATGGAGAAAATCCGAACCAAACATAATTGAACCACCAGCAAACCAGATAAGCCAGCTCTTAACTCAAGAGTTCTGTTGTCAATAACATGATGAGATAAGAAGCTAAGGCAAAATGGCAAGTAAATTACAAGCAGTCAGTATTGTTTCATGAGATGTCACTCCATCCCAAGTTACTAAAAAATTTTACCAACCTGTTCATCTTCTGTCAAATTCTTATCGAATTCTGTGGAATTGGCAGCTTTGATACCAAGCAGATTCCTAGCCACCTCTATTGCTGCACACTGCATTCCCAAACACACCCCTGCGGGTAAACTAAGAAATAAATCCAATGAGAACCCAACTTCTCCTACCAAGAAAAGGTACATTATTCTCTCTTGCATACTGACAGGTCCTAATCATCCCCTCAACGCCACGTTTATCAAAACCACCAGGCACGATGATTCCGCTGCAAAAAAGCTATCAAAGGCATCAACTCAATGCGAACTTACTGTGCACTCTTGACTGTCTCCCAAGCAGCATCCGCCTTCTCCTTCGACGCCTCAGATTTCTCTTCCAACAGCTCTGAGTCCACATACTGAAAAAGGAACGAACGGTACGAACGATGGTACGATAACAACGGATAGTAGGAAAGATACCTTAATTTTGATGGCACGTTTACTATGGATAGCAGCATGAGTAAGTGCTTTGTTGACTGAAGCATAAGCGTCGTTTATCTTTACATATTTCCCTACCAAGGCAATGACGACTTCTTCCTTGAACGAATCGCACCTTAAAATTACAGTGCTGAAAGTTGATATGTATAACAATGGGTCATTATAGAGGGATTTCAACAAAATTTACCTCTGGCGGAGAAAGATGGAACCTAGCCACATCTAGGAATGAGAAGACTTCATCACTTACAGGTCTGCCTTCACGTCGCGTGCAAGCATATAGGTGGTTGTTAACCATCGCCTGCATCGTTCAATCGCCTTCTCAATTAGTGATATTCACATTAGTGTCCAGCTCTACATTCAGCTGACACATCTGCCCTCTACCCGTGTCCTCTACTGGCGGTTCCATCAAATAGTTTCCTTGCAAGGTAACCATCATTTCAAGGTTTCCGAAGTCGTCCGTGTTCCAGTATTACTTGCCCATCGGTGCTTCGCTTTGCAATGTGCTCCAGTGGGTAATGTCCTTTGAGTGGGTCCTCTGTTATACAAACTTTTTCTCTTTTCAATGGAGTATTGCTTTTAAGTAGAATACTGGACTGCGTTCCACTCTGTGAAAAGCCCGGTAATTCACTCGGATTCCTGATTCCCCTCGTCAGTTGTCCATTTCCTGACTTTTTCAAGCTATATACAGGGTGTCCCAAAAAAAATGTTTCGAACGTTTGATCGTTAATATCTCTCTTCCCAAGAAGTCTTTTGCCTTGCTTCAGGTACCGTTTTGTAGAGCTGGCTTCAACTTAGATTTGCATTATAAAACGAATCACCCATCTCTCTTCATTACTGTAGGATTACAGTAGAAACTTCAAAGAGGGTTTTGAGCCATGAAAGGCCATATTTTGCCTTAAAAAAGAAACAAAACAGCCTGAAAACTTTTACACCAGGCTAATTAGAGTTGCTTATTACAACTGTACAGTTCCCAACTTGTTATGATGCTTCATTGAAGAGTTATGCCAGGTAAGAGGTAGCGGCCATTTTTTCAATGTTCTTAAAAAGTGCGATTAAACCGTTTAGAAAGCTTCGTAATCTTGTGAATAGATTAGCATTGAACTCAGCGTCCATAAAAACCCTATTACACATGTTTTCACATTATTTTGAAAATTTTTGAAAAAGGCGCTTTTTCCATATTGACACCATATGTTTCAAGTTTCTACCGTAATCCTACAGTAATGAAGAGAGACGGGTGATTCGTTTTATAATGCAAATCTAAGTTGAAGCCAGCTCTACAAAACGGTACCTGAAGCAAGGCAAAAGACTTCTTGGGAAGAGAGATATTAACGATCAAACGTTCGAAACATTTTTTTGGGACACCCTGTATTTGTCGTAGCACGATACGGGCCAGCAGTGAGGAGGAAAGTTGAAAGGTGGTTCGATCTCAAACCCAGAGACTAATCTTGTTGATAACAAGTTGTTATAGAAACGGCAGTCGGACGAAGTTTCACTACCTCTGCGTAATCTATCTTTGGTTCAAGCCTACATGTCAAGCCAATGAATACCATCCCTCTAAAATCAGTGATCGGTGTCAAGTTCCGTTGGAGGATGCAAGCTCGGTAATAGCCGGTTGGTTTTATCGTCTTTGTAAGTGTTAGTACACACATTTTCTCCTCGAAATGTAACGAAACGAAGTGGACTGAAGACAACTATTCCTAATTTTGATTTTTACAACAACTCGCTTCCACCCATCTCCCACCATTGACTACCTGTGAAAACCTATGCCATCTATGAATGTAACATGATGAGACATGCAATCTGTCAATCGTACGGTCTTCTCTTCAAGCTGAGCATACTACTGTAAGAGCTTTTGCAAATATACTGCAGCTGTCGTCAGAATAACGTGCTATATGGGCCCGTTGTCAATAAATACTTACAATTCACTCAAATGCGTCCAGTGGCACATGTTAAACTTGAGATCGCGACGTACTTCATCACTTATAGGTTTCAAATGTAGCCGAGAAATGATTGCTTCAAGCACATGCTGCTCTTGTAGTAGTAGAGGTACTTTATAAATGTTAGAAACATCATGTACCCCAATAACCTAAATCGTTCTTTTGAGCAAGAAGCATGTGTCGAGTTTATACACCGACCTGCTCTATATCCACCAGCCCAAAAGCAGCAATTTTCTGACGGAGGTGCTCCTGCAGTGGTTCACTTGACCGGCAGATCAACAAATCCGGAACGAGCCCTGCTGCGCGAAGATGTCGAACCTAGGCAAATCATGCAAAAACTTCTGTAGAGTTTCTAAAGAAAACACGCACGGAGTTCTGCATAGGTTTGGTCTTCGGTTCACCGGTTGCATTGGGATGCATAACGAGTGAAACATGCACATTCATGAGATTGTTCTATAAATCACAAATTTATCCGTGTAGGAAACGCAATCGAACTTACACGAAGAGCTGGCCTTTGGAATCTCTCAAATGCTGCCAAGTAAGACATTCCTTCAATATCGCCGATGGTGCCTCCGAGCTGAAAAAAACTTGCTTATTTAAAGAGGTAAAAAGATTAGAACTAACAAATGGCACAACCTAAGTCTACTTATTGGTTAATAAACGTGTTTTAAACAAAAAGCCTCTACCTTGAACAGTCACACAAATAGCTCGCTTGAATTTAGGCGCGTCATCTCAATCTAGCAGCCAAAACGACAGCCACAGTGCGTGACTCAATAAGAACTCTCTGAGCTTGCTTATTTCCAATGAACGCATAATGCTTTGGCAAGTCTAGCAGTCTGTCTCTGGCAGTCTTAGGGAACGGTTGGCATATAAGTTGCCGTCGGCCGAGGTTGCCGGCGTTGCCAGCTGGAGTTGCCGCTTAGAAAGCACGTAAAACAGGGAGAGGTCCGACAGCGACGGGGTTGCCAGAGTTGCCGAGGTCAGAGACGGCTTATAGAGCGCGCGAAACATAGAGGCTACCATAAGGTCCTCCAACGACCGGAAACCTCGGACACATTTGCCGGCGACTTATGGCCGTTCCCTTGCAACATGCTGTTGCATGTTGCCACATGTTAGCCGCGATGAGGTAGGTAGGGACGGTACGGGTGCAGTGCAGCAGTCGCGGAATGGACCATATACTGTACGCGCTTCTTACACCCCCATTCTTCACCAGACAAGCATATTCTTATGTCGAGCCGCTTCGGAGAGGCAAGTTCACAAAGAGAACAATTTAAAAATAAAAGCAAACCAAAATGAAAATTTACATAAAGATTGACATTGAGAACATACTATGTATTTACCTCAATGATGCAAACATCCGGCCTTTCCAATGTGCCATCAACGGGAATCCTGGCCACTCGCTCAACCCACTGAATAACTGCATCCGTAAAATGTGGAATTAACTGCACTGTCTTTCCGCAGTAGTCGCCACGTCGCTCGCGATCAGTAACCTGTAGAAACCGGAGAAACTAGGCACAAAAGGGGCCGAAACTTACATGCTGAAACATCTTCCCCGTAGTGATGTTGTTGTCTCTGGTCAATCTAACACTCAGAAACCGTTCATAATTACCCAAGTCCAGATCGACTTCTCCACCGTCATCGAGAACGAACACCTCGCCTAGAAAGATCAATTCTCAGTTTTTTTTTTCGATGCATAATCCCCAAATACTCTTCTGAGGGCCGCATGCATTAACATCCCCGCTGGGGAGAGGATCGCAGCTTAGAAAGAAAGCTTCAGACCCTAAAGCTTCAGATATCTAGATCTCACGCTTTACACCTATCCGTAAGTATTCCTACCTTCTTTCACTTTGAACATATCGAACAGAAGCGAGAAGCTGTACAAGCCGCATTTTACAGCTTTTTGTATGATCCCCTGATGATCCCCGGGAACCGATCGTTAATTCTTTAAAGTAATTTTCTTTCTTCAAAGTTAATGAAAACATTCCAAAGTTGTACTGATTATCGAACCCAATAGTGCTAAGCATACTGCTGATGAGAACAAATGAGTTTTTGAAATATCGAAATTTCCGATAAACCCCAACCTTCGACCTGTGGTTCATCGAAAATTTCATAACTCCAAAACATCGGCACTATTGGGTTAAGTAAGCTATACAACTTTGAAATGTTTTCACTAACTTTGAAGAAAGAAAAATGACTAGAAAAAAATAGGTCGTCCCCAGGGGATCATCAGGGGATTATACCAAAAGCTGTAAAACGCGGTTTGTACAGCTCCTCGCTTCTGTTCAATATGTTCATAGTGAAGGATGGTGGGAATACTTACTGATAGGTGGACAGCGTGAAATCCAGATATCTGGAGCTTTGGGATATGAAGGTTTTCCTAAAGCTGCGATCCCCTCCCCGGCGGGGATGTTAATGCATGCGGCCCTAAATCCGATTTGAATTGATCAAATACTCTCTCGTTGTTGAGACTCCTGTAGGTATTGATGATAATTTCAGTGATGTTTCGCGACTTCTAAGATCTTCACAACGATTGACGTGTGCAATGTTGACGGGTGTGATGGAGCGACCAGTCAGCCAAAGAGTTGCCTATGCGCTGTTGGTCATGGCACATGCCATTCAGGTAGCGATCACAGCTATAGCCACTTGTCCCACTCAGCCCCTCGATGAGATAGAGGACATCTTACAAGGAGAGGATACTTAGTCGAAAGCACCAATCCAGATGAGACACATATTATGCTGGTGCGCTTGAAACGCTGATTCCAAATCTATAGTTTTTAGCAGCGGAGCGATTTTGTAGAAGGAGTTATGAGGGTGTTTCCCTTAGGAATTGAGGCGCCCTCCAGCAGGTCTCCTCTTACCCTACTGGTACCAACTGGTAGCAACTGGTCAGTGGTAAGTAATTTGAATGAAGATTACATTAAGGACTATGATACTCGTATTACTTTGATTTATAACACTTCTACTTTCAGTTAACGTTAATATTATCCGAAATTTCGGGCTTTAGGGCTCTAGAGCCATTTAGAAGCTCAAAAATTGCATAAAGTTGCATGCGAAAAGGACTAAAACCTTGACACTCTCTTTATCAAGCAAGGCACTTACCACTAAGCCAGTTGCCACCAGTTGGTACGCCTCTACAGTGCTCATAGACTCATAGATAAGGGGAGACCTGCTGGAGGGCGCCTCAACCCCGAAGGGAAACACCCCTCATAACTCCTTCTACAAACCGCTCCACTGCTTAATACTACAGATTTGGAATCAGCGTTTCAAGCGCTTCAAGATGATATGTGTCTCATCTGGATTGGTGCTTTCGACTAAGTATCCTCTCCTTGTTAGAGGCAGCGTCTCGACAAAATTTCGCTGTTCAGTCTTTCACCTATTCGCAGCATTCTTGCCATCAGGAATCCATATCTTGGCTTTTCAGCGCATGCAAGTGCGGATAAAGAGCCTTTTTTTAAGTTTTCAGAGTCCGCATCCAGTGGAAATGCCGAAGTCTTCCGCATTCCGCCTTCTTTGTTTCCGACTTTGCCCACTTACACGTATTTTCCACTGAATGCACACCTAAAAGCTTCAAGAAAACTTATTTACGCCATTTTCATGCGTTGAAAAGCCCAGATATGGGTTCCTCACGGCGAGAAGGCTCCGAAAAGGTGAAAGACTGGAAAACGAAAACTTGCCGCGACACTGCCTTCGAGATCAGGATGACAGAAACCCAACTTCGATAACCGTCCCGCGCTTTGTAATTCAATGCACACTGATCATTGTCTAGTCTAGGATGACTTCATGTTCAAATAAGTACATGTCTACAGCATATGTACTGCTCAGGGTTCAACGCAATTCAATCCGATGCGGCATCTGAAGCAAAGTTTAGCATTACAACGAAACTGAGGCTGAGCTGATTGAGATTTACGTCATCTGTAACATAGAGATCTTCTAACAGGCCCAAGCTGTGTTCACAACAATATCGGTGTGGCTCTATACAGCTAAGCTTAAACTGGTATGCCCTCTAAACAGGCTGTTATGAGCGAAAAAAAACGAATTTCGAAATTTTATACCGTGGGATTCACATTACCGGACGAACTAGTTCAACAGTTCCAATATTATATGACATGATCGAAGCCGAAAGTAGACGATGCGTTTTTAGTCTTTACATTTCCAACATTTGAAGGGAGATATTTGAATCAAATATTACGATTAAAGGTAAACAATTTGATCTACACGTTTTTGGAACAAAATTCAAAGAAAACCTTAAAGGCAGCGGCTCGGCAGATTTTGCACTTCCATCTTTTTGCATGCTTTGGGCCCTCTCGACCCGTAGATCCCGAATCTGAGCTTTAAAAGAGGTGAAAAGCCTTTTTCGGGACGTTTTTTTTCAATTTTTAAAAGGCAGCTCGGACGAGAATTTTCCAAAGGAGAGTCGGGAGGCCCTGGCACGAAGACCCTGCTGCCTGTAATTTTGGCTTTGTATAGCATGCACAATGTGGGAAAGCGGTTGGGGGGTCCCGCGCCGTCTAGCGGAGAATACTCGTCCGAACAAGGTGTTAGGGGAGCGAAAGGAGGAAGGGGAGCGACGCTTGGGCCGCCCCCTTGGCTTGCAGAATTCACATTTTCGGCCCGGAGTTGCTCTTTTGGTTCACTTGGAGGGCCTCCTATCCATCTGTGTCAAAATCTAAGGTAGGTCTATTCTGCCGAGCCGCTGCCTTTAAGCAGTTCTGATCGAGTATTCTGTATAGCTCAAGTGATCGCAGTTTATTTCGGGAATTACCATGTCACCAGGTGACGAAGAATCATGCCAAGACTGAAGATATGGGTACTCATCAATAACTTCAAAAATGCGTTAGAACTTTTCCCTCATCTCAAACGAAACAGTAAGGAGAATCTGCAAGATTCTCATCAAATTCAAGGTATTCAGTCACAATATGATCTCTCAAGCGCAAGCAACGCATATCGAAACTTCATTTGTTGTCGTTAAAAGCAAAATTAGCACTACCAATAATAACTGAACTGAATGTAAACAAAAAGATATTGAAGCTTTTTGCCAATTCGAAGAAAAACATGCTAGGCACACAAAATCACACTACCAAGTGCGAGCTCAATCACATCACAGTGTATTTTACGTAAATTGACTAACCGTGCTCATACGGAGAGAAAGTACCGGCATCAATATTGAGGTAGGGGTCTATTTTGATCGCGGAGACCTAAATCATCCAGTAAAGAACACAGAGCTAAGTCAAAAGAAAAGCCTTACTTTGTAACCATTGTTTTTCAGCAATACGCCAATACTCGACGAGATGATACCTTTTCCTACACCACTGATAACGCCACCAGTAACTAATATATATTTCATGGGAGCTTCATGATCACCATCACCATTAGGCAGCCCATTTTCATGCACCATCTGGAAAGAAGAGAATTCTCACCAGAAAGCACAGCAACCAAGTAATAAGTGACTGAGAAAT